CTATCCGTCAGGCTGGTGCCGTACGGATGGGGCTCGATCCCTCAGCGCAAGCGCAACCCAAGATCGCGGTGCTCAGTATGCCCGATGAGGGCGATAGCGCAGCCGATATCGTCGTGCTTGCGCTGTCCATGGGCGTCGTGCATAAAGCTGTGCCCATGACGCTTGCGCTCTGCCTTGGCGTGGCGTCGAACGTCCCGAACTCTATTCCATGGAGAATTATGAAAGAGGATGGCAAGGACAGCACACACATGCTGCGTGTGCGCCATCCGGGAGGTGTCGTGGAGGTAGGCGCAGAGTTCAAGGCGGATGGGACAGTGCGAAGTGCCAAGGCCATTAGGACTGGGCGAAGATTGATGGAGGGCCTGGTGTACTGGTGAGACTTGCTATATCGTGTACGTATTGCGTGTATGGTCTCCGTGTCCCTCCATTTGTATTGACACCTGCTGAACGGATGCAATCCAGGTCCATGCACACTTTCACTCAGCATTGACGTCTGCTAGACCTTGGTGATGTACCCGTACAACGCAAGAGTTCATGTTAGCGCCGAAAGGTGTGTAGAACATCATAATTATATACGTATACCTGACACCACAACTAAATAATTTTCCAACAGTCGCAGGATGCAGGAATCTGGTTTACCGCACATGTCCACAGCTCTTTCTTCGTATCCTCCGTGGAGAACCGTAGGAACGCATCACGTAGCTTGTCGATTGGAGCTGCGAGGAACCCTGTGGGAGTCTCCAGCGCTGCTCGGTCGGGAGTCGATGGATATGGGCTGCAGAGTCTTCAGTCAGCGATCTGCTTGATATGTGACATAGTATTGCACGCATTGAGTAGTTCTCTTGGGTCGTTTGAAGGCCTAGGCGGCATTTTTACTTGTCTGCAAGTCTAACTGGCGTTCGAGAAGCGGTAGGTCTATTTTCTGCTCCGAATTATTGTGCGGACGGAGGTACGCCATATTGCATTGGAGAGGGTAGTGTCGGAATTCGGCGGTGCGAGATTCAGTCCTTCGAGCTTGTGCAGCAGCTCCTCCACGTCCTGCAAAACTCTGAAATAAGCGCCCCCCATGCGGTTTGAGATGATTCACGTACCTTGTGCTGAGCACGATCTTCGCCTACGAGATTCAGATCCTCCTAACCAAGATATTTTTCCATGAGGGGGTACACAACAATCTCCTCAGTCTCGGCGTGCCGGGCAACCTCGAAAACGAGTTGGTTCAGGTTCGGCCATCTTGCTTTGTTGTCTTCATCTGTTGCCGTTTTGTATGCATCGTGATATCCCTCCGTCTGTAAGAATACGAGCGAGAATAAATGCTATCGGAATTGTGCGTCTCCTGACACTGGCAGTCTTCGGCAATAGAGGCGCATGCGCACGGCGATACCGCTTGCGATGGACCTGAAGGCGACTGTTAGTGGTACGAGATGACGAGTGACGGAGCGGATAGAGGTCCGATGAAAGGAGTTGCTGAGGCACTGGACGATGCGCCCAGGGGGACGAGCACACCTTAGTGACCGCAAAGGCTAATCATGTCGCGCCACCTTCTAATTGTTTCCCATTTAATATATACTTCACACCATTTGAGAAAAGTGTAGTTCTATTTTATCACATGGCTAGTTAGATACATGAATAGACAGAGCGGTAGGCAAGCAAACGCGTAGGAGCGAAGCCGGCGCGAAGGTACGCCGTCGAGAGGCGCGAGTGTGGGGACAGGTGGGCAGATAGGCATGTGTGCAAATATGGAATGTGGGTGATATGTGGGCTTGGGCTTGCGGGCGTACGAAAACGGAGGCAGGCATGCTGGAGGCAGATGGGCAGGACAGGCAGGTAGGGACGAAGACGGGCACGTCAGAGACAGGGGACGGGACAGCCAGCGAGCGCCCGTACACTGGCAGGCATACAGGGCGAGGACTGGCAGCAGCCTGAGTGTGGGGGCGCGTGAGGGCTGGCAGATGTGTGGAGACGAGGGGACGAGGGTTGGAGGAAAGGTGAGGAAGGGCAATGAAGGGGAGATGGGCGTCCTGCAGAGGAAATTGGAAGGCAGCGGCGCAGCGCCGCCTGTGGCTGCGAGGAGCTCGCCGTCCAGTGGGCAAGTTTCAAAGTCCGACGGTGGACTTGATTTATCGACGCTCTTAGCGGCTAAGACGCGCTCAGCCGCTACAGTAAACTCTAAGAGCCGCTAACTCTCAAACTTCAAGCGCGGCTAATATGGCTCCATGACGGGCAAAATGGGACTGGTTATCTCCGAGGGTGTACGGGAGAAGCTTGTGTAGAAGGTTCAAGTTCTGTCATAGGGCCCGAAAGAGAAATAACCATCTCGTACCTAATATAAACTCACTTGCGTAGAAACAAAGCATAATGTGACGGGCGAAGTCGCAAGGTACATAGCTGACGTCGAGACTACTAGTACAATTGTCATAGTTCAAGATTAGAAACGTTGTGACAGGAACACGTTCTTCCCATGTAGCTGTGAGACACATGTTCGTCAAGGTCTTTATCTCTACCCTTTTCGCCGCCCCTATCTCTGGAAGTTACGAGTACTAGTAAAGCGCCTTTAGCTAGATCGGCCCGGGGCGCTTCGACGCGTCCGAAGGACAACGCATCTCGGTTTCCACGTGATCGCGTCGTGGCTAACGCGGCACTTTCAGGATTTTCACCTCGGCACCCTCGGGCTTTCCTTTGGATCGCGCAGGCGGACCTCTGCCTTCTTCCATCTCCTGTTAGATCCACGGTATACCACTCGCTCAAAAAATGTCTCAAAAGATGGCGGAGATCCACGATCAATTTGATACGATCCTCGTACTCGATTTTGGCTCCCAGGTCTGAACCAAATGCCCAACAACCCGCCTGCACGACCACCTGACGCCAGTGCCAGTACAGCCATCTCATCACCCGGAGATGTCGCGAACTCAATGTCTATGCGGAACTGATGCCGTGCACACAGAAGATTAAGGATCTCAAGTGGAAGCCAAATGGTGCGTCGCCGCGTTCGGTCGCGGACTGCTCTTACGATGAACCATGCGCGGTGCTGTCCACAGGCATCATTCTATCCGGCTCTCCATACTCTGTGTATGACGCGGACGCCCCGCACGTTGACCCCGACGTTTTCGAGCTCGGCGTGCCAGTCCTTGGTATCTGCTACGGCCTGCAGGTACGCTCTTGTGTCTGCTTTACTTCAATCTGGCATCCATGCTGCCCGTCCCAGGAAATGGCCTGGATCCTCGGCGGACAGGTCGCGAAGTGCGACCATCGTGAATACGGCTTTGCGCAGGTGCAGATTGCTACTTTCGGCGGTGGTTCCGCAGATGCACTATTCGCAGGCCTTGGCGCGGAAATGGAGGTCTGGATGTCACATGGTGATCAGCTCTCTGTCCCACCGACGGACTTCCGCGTTATCGGAAAGACGAAGAGCGCCCCATATGCCGCGATCGCGCACAACAGCAAACCGTTCTACGGCATCCAGTTCCATCCCGAAGTCACGCATTCGCCACGCGGAAAGGAGGTCATTGGAAAGTTCGTACTAAATATTTGCAAGTGTCGTGCGGACTGGACCATGGTATTCTTCGAAAACTATCTGGCCTGAGCAATGACTGAGTGCGGTGCAGGAAGAGTTTATCGGGAAGGAGATCACGCGGATTCGCGAAATCTGTGGACCAAAGGGACGTGTTATCGGTGCTGTCAGCGGAGGCGTCGACAGCACAGTCGCGGCGAAACTCATGCACGAAGCGATCGGCGACCGGTACTTTCTATTCATATCTCAGACTGGTGCCTCCATTGATGTGCATGTAGTTTCCATGCGATCATGGTCGACAATGGTGTGCTGCGGCTCAACGAGGCAAAACAGGTCGATGAGATGCTCAATCGCGATCTTGGTGTGAATCTGACGGTCGTCGACGCATCGGAGCTTTTCCTCTCTCGCCTCGCTGGTGTCGAGGACCCGGAACAAAAGCGTAAGATTATTGGCAATACGTTCATCAACGTGTTCGAGGCCGAAGCAACGAAGATTGAGGCGACGGCGGAGGAGGAAGAGAAGAAGGGTGCGGAGGCGAAAGGTCGCGTCGAGTGGTTGCTTCAAGGCACTCTGTACCCGGATGTTATTGAGAGCATTAGCTTCAAAGGTCCGAGCGCGACGATCAAGACACACCATAACGTCGGTGGACTGCTCAAAGACATGAAGCTAAAACTCATCGAACCACTGCGCGAGCTTTTCAAAGGTAATTGACTTTTGAAAAAGTCTTTCATATCGTACCTGATAAGCATGACTTCTCAGATGAGGTGCGCGCACTCGGCCGTCTGCTTAGCATCCCTGCGCCACTCGTTCAGCGCCATCCCTTCCCTGGGCCGGGCCTTGCTATTCGCATCCTTGGGCCCGTAACGCGCGCGCAGGTCGAGATCTTGCAGAAGGCGGACAACATCTATATCGAGGAAATCCGAGCGGCAGGACTTTACAACAAGATTAGCCAGGCATTCGCCGTACTGCTACCTGTCAAGGCCGTTGGCGTCATGGGCGACAAGCGTACATACGAGCAAGTCATCGCACTGCGCGCAGTTCAATCAGAGGATTTTATGACTGCAGACTGGTACGCCCATCCTTGCTCTACGAGGACCAGGGAAAGGCTGAACTGCACAGGTTCGTGTTTCCTGCGGAGGTGCTCAAGAAGGTTTCGTCGCGCATTACAAACGAAGTAGCGGGTATCAACCGCGTCACCTACGACATCTCGTCAAAGCCACCTGCTGTACGATCCTGCTCCTTACCTTGCTGCCCTTTTTGCTCACAGGGATATCAGACTGTGGAATGGCTTTGAGCTGGCTAATTGCGTATACGATAGACTGCTATAGAGAAGGGCCTCCGGTATGTGGCTCGCTTGATCTGCTTGAAGAGTATTCGTGACAAATACAATTCAGGTCGCACGAGCAGAGACTGGTCTCCGATGGACGTGTGCTTTTGCTCGAATTACATGTCCTCTGCTGTTCTACCATACTTTTTCCGGGAAGAGCAAAAGTGGTTCAGCCCGGGATCGAACCGGGAACCTTCTGTGAACACACAAATCCAAATGTGAGACAGAAATCATAACCATTAGACCACTGAACCATCAAAAGCATGATCTATTTTTCATCGACGGTCGTCTGCCCCGAGCCACTGACAAGATTGCAAACCAGCCGTAAAATCCAAAGGGCAGTTTGACGATATGTGTCAGACTATCTTCCATCGTGGTCGATATCTGTACACCCCACCCATCCCTCTCCGCAACTTGTCTAGCAAACCCAACCCAGCAGATGTTTGACCAAAGGTGGGTCTTTTAGTATTCCCGGCAAGAATACTGTGCAGCGTCTACTCCCTTCATAGACAGAAACCAGCCAACTTCTTGTTCAGCGCATGCGACAGTCCCGAGTGGGCAACACCCTGGCTTCCCTGTAACTATAACTGACTATGACCTATTAGTATGAAGCTAATAGACTCGGCTATTCTGTTTTGTTATGAGGTCCGGTACTATCCGCGATTAAGGGCATCATATTCTCAAACGCTCCCGGCAAGCGTACGAACACAGTACTATATGGACTTATGCAGCGAAAACACAAGAATAACGATGGTTACATCTGAGCAACATACGAATAGAGATACATACCGTGCACAAAAACCCGAAGCATATTCATTAGGACAAAGTTTCATCCGGCGGTATGGACATGAACGAAGCGCCAATTTCCATTCTCAAGTAAACCCGTCGTGAGATTGAAATTGGGGTTCTCGTGCACATCACTATACTGGGGTGGCAGGAGTGAGCGGATAATGACGTCTTTCGGTGCAGCGACTGTAACAGTGATGGTTTGCGATGTCAGCGGCGCCGCGGAGGCCTTGGGTTGCGAAAAACCCGCAACCGTTGGGGACATGAGCATCAGTTGGTACTGGGGTGAGTTTGAGCATCCTCGAAACCAAAGTACTACATTCATCTGAGATAATAGAATCACGCACACTAAGCGATATCTTCCCGAACGTGAAACTTTGCTTAGTGCCTTTCGGAATGTGGAGCTCGCCATACATCGCCCGCGTGCCCTGTGTGTTCTTCGCATGGTGCGGCCAAAAGACGGCCGAGCCTGTCATCGTCAGGAACGTGTTGCTGCTTCGCATATCCGCAGCATCGTGCGCATGCGCAAGCACCCGCATTAAACGGACATCGTGCTGAGAGGAACCGAACAGATCGAGGGCATGTTTGTCCACACTTTTTAAAGTGAGGAAAAGCGGAATCGGCGAGTTGGCAACGTATGAAAGCTTTCAGGTCGTCAGTAGAAATGATTTGTCTAGGCTTCCTTCAGGCTCACCGGAGAAGCAATAGCAAGCTAATTGATTGTCACAGTTTTGTGAGTCTAGTCGTGACAGTGAAAAAAATCGCATACTGAATATTCGACCGTAGCGGTGCGATCGTTGAATAAGTTGCCCGTGATGGTAACTGGCTGCAGAACGTGCCATCCCGGAGGATCTTCATCGGGTCCAAGGAGTGGCGTGCCAGACTCGTACGCGAGACTTCGCATGAGTGAAGGCCTCCCAGCCACTTGACGAGGCAAATAGCCTATGTTTGTGATGAGCCTTGAGGATGATAAAGCATCGATCATCACGCATATCGGAGAAGCGTAGAAACATCGCGCACTTGCGATTTGGGCTTAGACCTGCACGACGCATACTGATGCTGAGCTGGTAGTTGACATACACCGGGCTCGCACGCTCTGTGAACGATGGCGGTAGTCGGGGGTTTTCCACCGAAGACTGCGAACTTGAAATTTCCGTAGGAATGAGGAAATCGATAGCGAACTTATGCGCGCCTGCAGCAAGGTCTCCCGTTGCCGCACCATGGGGAGGTGACCAGAGATTCACGACCTGCTGGAGGAAGAACTCTTCGTCCAGACCTGTCCACTGCACACTACCCCTAAACTGCAGCTTGCGTTTCAGCGTAGTAGATAGATAGTCGAGGATGTGCACACCGTGAACGTGATGCCTTTCAGACGCTCTGGTGCTGGCAAGTCCAATAGTACCTCCCCAGTGATGACATCCCGATCGCAGTACAGAGGTAGATACTTCGCACTTGTCGCGCGGCTTCGAAGATTAAGGGTCAGCCATGGTCGTCCCTTCCCAGTACGGAGATAGAAGGCATGTAGCGTTGTAAACTGGTTTACCGATGCCGCGTCGGGTGCTGACGAGGGGAGCGACGGAGGCACGTCCGTGCGAATGTCGGCATAATCGGGCAGTACCTCGAAAGGATGTTGTGCTGATGCTTCCGTCAACGAGGTTGAGGTTCCCGTCATGGTGGTAAGAGCTGAACTGATCCTGCGTAATGTTGTGAAGCCAGATTACCTGAAGGTCTACTGTGGTATGGGAAACCTTGCAGCGCGTTCCTAAGTCAAGATAACTCGGCTCACACGGAGCCATACAATCCATCTTGCGCCAAATCACTCGTGACATGCTGTTTCTGAAGCGCGTGGGCGGTACATCCAGATGGAGGACAGATGTCAGTACAAGGCAGTGGCGGTAAAGTACAAACCTTCGAGAGAGTTTCTGTATAAGTACGTGGGAGTTTCGTTGCAGCATCTACCTCGGATCGAAGGTAGATTCAGATCTACGCAGAAATATGAGTCTCCGTAATTACTACTGCCGATACCGATATTATAGTCCAGGGAAGTCGGCAGGGGATGCAGATAGCTACAAGGTATGTGGGGTAACCAATAGTACAGTGCGATAGAGGTACGGAAATGCAGCAAAACGGATAGCAGCTGGGAATGCGGGTCTGTTGACTTTAGAGTTCGTGAGCGTTGATTTAAGCCGTGCGCCTGTGATGGAGAAGAGTCCAAGATAAAGCGGGATACATATGTTGTCTGCGATGTGGGAGGATGGTGTGTCAAAGCGGGAAAGAGCAATGTAGAATATACCGATCTCGTGCACGGCGTGTCGCCAACGTACGCGCCGCTCTAACCATCAAGTCCTACGAAAGGATAGCCAACATACGTCGCACGTTCGAACCGTTGTTGGGTATGCCGGCTGTATGGGCTAGTCCCAGCAGTCAATGGAGACTCTGGCGGTGCGTAAGAGCGCGGCGAGACGCCATGAGCATTCTTCAGTGTCACTTGTACGGTTTCCGAGACTGGCGGCGTAGTTGACGGCGTGAGTGTGAAGTTAGGTGCACGGATAGCACTCAAAACGACGGCATACTACACCCAATATCGGGTAAGTTTGGAGGGGCGTGGGGAACAATGAGGGAGATAATTACCTGAATTGAAACCTTAGAGAACGTGAAGCTGGGAGTAAGCTTTTTTTGTAGGGGAAGCTCTCCGCATAACATCCTCGCGCCCGGTTCCGTGGGGCTGTCTGGTGCTGACCAGAAAACAGCCTCGCTCATCACATCATAGAAAGACATGCCGCGTCTTGTGGGCGTGAAGTCATGAACGTAGAGAGTTCGTACCAACTGGACGAGAACTGTTGCTTGCGCTAGGATACTCTCGTACTGTGAGCGAAGTGCCACATAGACTGGTATACAGGTGTTGGCCGCAAATGAGAGCTGGGCGCTTGTAGTAAGTCCGAGTCATTGGGATACAAGGTGCGCCCAGCCGAGTCACATACCGGTGAGGCGATGGCGAGCTAATGGATTCATGTCATTCATACGGGATCAAACACGACTAGGGAAAGTGGATGACACACTGTGCACAATATTGACGCTGTCCGCGTGGAAGACAGCTGCCCTGTTGCTTCAAGGCTTGGGAGAACCTTCCATCCTTCGGGGTCAGCGTCTGGTCCAGGTGGGATTGTTCGATTGCGATAGGCCATCTGCCTCCGCGCGCTCGGAGGGCTGGCGACTGAATGCGGTAAATACACGAATGGCGTAAATAGTCTAGTATCGCCTCGTCGGTCTGGCATGGAACGGTGTAGAGATATCGATCACGTACGTGCTGTCGATGGACAGTCTCCGGCGACGAACAGTTACTAATATCTTGTAGTCGATGTGCGCCTGGCTTCCGCGTTCTGAAAACTTAGGAGGAAGCCGGTATGTCATCGGAAGCGAGTGCGCCGCAGTGCTGGGAACCGTAACTTCTCTGGGAGGTGTAATTGCAAAGGGCCACGAGTGCGAGCCACTCAGCTTGCCGCTCGGCTGAGACCATACAGACTGTGTCATGCTGAGAAATGTATAGGGCTCGAGATCCTGTCCCGCACCCAATACTTGTCCTTGAAGCTGCAAGTAGCAAAGGGGGGGATGGTGTGTGAACATATGCACAACGAAGGAAGTCAAAAGATCGATACCGTTACTGAGACTTCGCGAATATGCTCGCCAGCTTTCAGGTCGATAGAAACGGTCCCGGAGACTGAGTCGCTTTCATAGTATAAGGGCAAAAGTTTGGGATCTGGGGACCGGCTGCGAATGCTCAGGACTAGCCAAGGCTTCCCAACGCTACCGCCGAGGGTGTACTGATGCTCAACACCATGCACAGTGCGGCGCTCGGCGGAAGTAGCCCGTGAAGCATAGCTGGGTAAAGTGTAGAGGGATTCCGACGGTCGACGTGACAAGTCGCTCGAGTCACGGGCAAGGCGGTGAGTCGCCATTGCTGATCCAGACGGAGATAGGCTGTTAAGCCCAAATGAAAGGCTGCTACCGGGGCGAGAGGAAATATATACTCGCTCCGGTGCAAAGGTAAAATGAGAGCACAAGGGACAAGGTGTCGCGGACGGCGCAAGGAGGCGGAAGAAGGAGCCATGCGAGAGTTTCGCATACCACATATAACCCGGGCCAAAGTCCACGAAGGCGCCATCTGCGCAGGGATGGAGCATGCGGTGGACGCAACCATGTGGCACTGAACTCTGCGTGAGCGGCTCGGAACGTCGGATGCGTACACACGCCGATTGTTCCTGGCGCCCTCAGACCGCCCAAGCGAAACAAAAGCCGTAGTAGGGTAAACTAGACAGTCCAGGACTCGGAAGGGAGGACTTCCGAGTGGGGAACAATTTTTGCGGGTCGAGGAGGGTGGGCGGTGGGAAGAACTATGGTAGACGGCGTCTAAGTTAGGCCAGGTGTACACATGGCCTTGGGGAACAAACCGTCTGGCCGCCCTTCCGTA